ACAGACGTTCAGTGCACATAAACCAGTTTAAAAATGGCTGAAACTAGTTTAAGATAAACCTGTTTAAATGTAGTATCAGACTAAACTGATTTGGGTCAAACCCGTTTATGAAACTTTTGTCTCAGACCCCTTCCTGGTTCAAGTTAAATCACAGTCCCCCAACATCCCAGCATGCTTTCAAGCCCTGAGCTGGGTTGTGCTGTCTGCTCCAGCAGAGAAGGGTTGGGAGGGGCAGGGGGGAGGCAGGGACTGCCCCTCCAGGCAAACCCCTGCTGGGGCCTGGGTCCAGGGACGGGGGTTAAACTTCCCTTCCCCTGAGTACAGAGCTGCCCTGCCATGCTAAAAACTTACTTCTGACTACAACTGTGGACTACAAATCCCAGAGGCACCTCGAAGCAGGAAGAGGAAGTGATGAGCAGGGATCCTGGTTTTGTCTGATTAAAAATTGCAAATTCTCTGCTTAAAAACCCAAAATCCATGATAAAATTAAAGGCCCCTCACCACCCCCCCCAGCTCTGCTGGTGCCCCGCACTCCCCCCTACAATGTCAACAGCCCTCCTGATGCCCCTAGCAACAGCCCCCCAGACCCACAGACACAGACATGCAGACACAGACACTGACACCCACCCCAGCAGGTAAGTGTGTGTGGGGGGAAGGTGCTGGGGGGTAGATCAAGAAGGGGAGGAGTGTGCCCCTGTGCCTATTCCCAGGAGCAGGGCCAGGGGGTGAGGGCAGGAGTGCCATTCTGTGGGTCTCACACATGCCGGCCGGCCTGACAGGAGGTTTGCACATGGAGGCCACCACCACAATTCTGCCACTGCACCCTGCGCTACCATCCTGCTGCCACTGGGCAAGTGGTGCAGGGCGTGGCAGGGGCAGTGCAGTGGCAACCACTGTGTGTGGGCCACATATGTGCTGCCCAGCTGGGGAGTGAAATGGGGGGCTTGCATGCAGCGGCATGCCTCTCACCCAGCTGCATGGCTTCATGGCGGTGCGTGGTGGTGGTGGCTGCCTGTAGGCTGGGGGGGCTTTGCGGGCAAGTGCTGCCACCACAGAGCCATGCCCTTTGTCTCTGGATCTTAGAGGTAAGTGGGGTTGGGGGCTGTGGGGCAGGGCTAGGGAAGATGGTTGGGGACTGAGGGTGTGGGGGGTGCTGGTGGCCCCAGACAGCACACCACAGCTGGGAGCAGAGCCAGGGGGTGAGCGCAGGGGTGCCCCTCTGTGGGGGGGCTTTGCGGACAAGCAATGCGGGGTGTAGTGTGGTGGTGCCTGCCATGTGCGGGTTCCACACATGCTGCCCAGCCGCTTGTCCAGGGGAGGGGGAGAGGGAGGCTGGCATGCAGCTGGAGCACAGCTCTGTGGCTGGCTCTGCATCCACAGTGAGGGATGGCAGGGGCTGGGGCTCGCACGTGGCGGCTGCTGCCACTTACCTGGAGCGCCATGACGGCAGTGATGGCTGCTGCCTA